ATATTATTGAAATTAATAACTCAACTGACTTTTATGAAGTACAGAATATAATTATATTAGTAAGCCTATATGTTCCTTTTAATAAGCTATGTTGTTAATTTAAGCCTTTTCCTCTGAAATAATATACACCGTATAATTTTCTCTTCTCGATAGTAGTAAAAAATTAGAAATGAAAATAAAAATAAAAAAGGAAACATACTCGAGTGAAAAGTATATATACACGTTTTATTAGTAAAATTTTATAAAAGAATACTATTATTTTTATTAACACTCCCTAAGAGCTTTAAAAATAATCTGCTAAGGGGATAGCAGAATAAAGTTCTAATTTATTCTATAAATTTATGACAGCTTATCAGACGAATATGTAAAAGGGAAGAAACAAAAGTAATAAACTCAACAAACTTAACCTTAGGCATTCTAAGAACTGTAGTTTATCTTAGAAATATATCACAGAATGAAAGGTCCAATGTGACTGCAAAATGAGATGATGTTATCAATCGACAAAGGATTCAACTTAGAAATAAAACTGACGAGTTAAACGTATGAAAAGACGTAAAATAAAAATAAAAATAAAAATAAAAATAAAGGTAGTCGATTAATCATGAAATTCTCCAACGTTTGCAATATTTTTGAAACCCTGTCTTTCAATTGGATTATTTAATTAGGGAAAAGCATATTTAAGACATAATGCTATTATAGGACATGCAGAAAGACATCCTACAAGAAGATGTCTTCGTGGAGCATCTTTTACGGGAAACTATTTCGTATTTAAGTTATACGTGAAAGAAAATTAATACGCATTCTTTTCATCTTGCAATTTTTGGTTGTAATTTTATAATTTTTCGGTTTCCATTTTGTTATTCATTTATTTTTTCCTAATGTTAACTTTACTTACACGCACTTACACACACACATACACAGAGAGAGAGATTTCACGCTTTTCAATGGGTCTTATTTCCATATTTTTATAATATTTAGCCTTGGCTTTTCAATGCATGCGCAGATATACACCGTGTCCACAAAGACCTTACCGGACCTTTATTTTCGCAATCATTGGTCGCAAACATATAGTTTCATTTACAAAAAATGTTTTTAATGATGTAAATATTCATGCTTTGGCACTTTTAGCTCTCTAAAGGTATGCTATTGTTCTGACTTGTCTGACAGAAACTTGTCTGACAGAAACATCAGAACAAGTCCACGAAATTCATATTGGCAAGAAGTGCAAGATTGCGCCTGTCTTTGGCAACAGCCTTGAGCACCATATAGGTGACAGTACGACATTGCTCAGTTTCTCCCCCAATTTTGAAGGAGAGCACCCGAGGGGAGACCGGTTCGAGGGTCTCCCACCCTCTCAAGAGGACTTTGAGGTTTAGAGGACTTAGAGGCTCTAAATATACGGCTCGCCGTATATTTAGAGCGCCCCATGCCGCACAGACACTATACTTTTACAATTATCCATGCTTTCTTAGGGATTCGAATCCGAGCCTTTCGATACGGCAGTCAGAGGTACTAACCACCATCCTGGTTGGGTGGCACTCTCTAAAGGTTAAGGGTTTGACTTTGAAACCCTATAGTTTTCCAAACTACCATGAATAAATGCAATATTTTGATTGCAAAATGACTCTTTTTTTGTACCTTGACTCCTTTTCTTCTAATATACATCCAACATAAAATCAGATTTATCAGGAGCTGGCAGTATTTTTCGTATGTAACGAATTGGAAAGCCATCCTTTTATGCGGAATTTTACGTCTATAGCCTTTTTAAATGTAAGAAATCAATTTTATGAAAATTACGGCCTGAAGTCCACTTCAGCAAAATTTATACTTGAGGAAAATTTTATACCCATTAAAAAAATACAAAAAATGTCATATTTATACGCTAGAAACTCACAGTGATATTTTATTTTAAACTTGGACATCGTATTCAGGGGCTGTACACAAACTGAAGAAAGAAATGTTTGCATTTGTTTGTAATTAAAAATAAACTATCAATTTAGAAAATAGTTTCTTAAGTTAACAGATTTAGTAAAGAGCGTTTCTATGCAGGCTATCGTGAAAAGTATTGATCAAGATCAATTTTTCAAAAAAAGAGAACTTAATCATATAATCTTATATAATTCGTGTTCTAGAATACATTGGCAGGCTTCATATTGGCACATAGACAACTTCTAGCATTATTTGTATAAATTTAAAATAAAAATATTTTTTTTAAATAATTTTTGTATGATCATTAGATTATGATTCTGAAGTAATAAAATTTCACCAAAATCGAAATAACGCATTTCTAACGTTTAAAAATTTATAAATTATTTATGTGAAAATTCTTTCTGAATATTTACTGTAACAAAGTTGTAAATAGAATGTCACAGCCAAGGAATATCGTAGAATGACATTTAAGAAGGAAAAAAATCAACCTTGAATTATTCTAATTTATTTATTAAACGGCCCTTCAAGGCAAGATGGAAATGACGTTAAGTATCCCAAATTTTGAAATTAAACAGAAATGATTAAATAGAATTAATTTTTTTGTAACACGAGAGTCAAACTTCAAACTTTCTGCTTTTATTATATATATATATATATATATATATTAATTACAATAAGTATAAAAAATTCCCTAAATATAAGTATAGAGACCAAGGGAACATAAAAAATTTATATTTTTAAAACTTTTATACAACTGATATTTTTTAATTCAAAAATTACCAAAACGTGAATATTTGAATCATATTTATAGTTATACAGAAACATTCTTAAATGCATAAATGCATATTTTATTTTATTAAGCATTTTTTTTTTCATTTTATGAACGTATTTGAAAAATTCCAACACATGTATATTACACAAGGAAACTTTCACATTAGGAATTGGAAATCTGGAATAAATTGCTACTTATTTCTAATAGTTTGGCAATTCAAAACCACAATATCCAGGTAATTTCATGCATCATTTTTAGGACACTTTTTCACAACAACGGATGAATAACAGATAATTTAATAACATATCAGTCGGTTTATTAATTGAATTTTTTAGAAATTAGTTTAGAAATTTTTATATGATTTAGTAATTTTTATTTAGGTATGAGTATTAACAGAATTCGGAATTCGCTTTTGTGAAATAATCATTTGTGTACATTTCTAGTAGTAGCTTCTGCAGATTTAAATGATTCTTTAATAAATAGTGTTACGAATTTGGTATTTAAAAAGCTAATGTTAGTTCAATTATAAATTAAATGGTTTTATTTCCCGCGCAGTGCAGCGCGTAACGAATATTAGAAGAGAGAAAGCTAAGCCGGAAAATAAAAATACAAGAGCACGTGCATTATATATAAATAAATATATTTTTGATTTCGAGAAAGTACCAGAGAATTCTCGCGCGTGATTTTAAATCTTATAAAGGAGGAAACATCTCAGTTCGTTAGTTAGTTACTTAGTTTGTTGTTTTAGAAACTGCTTTGTTGACTGTAGCGAATTCGCGGATTTGCTTTCTTTAGCTGTTTTGAATAAGTTGTATTGAACGTTGAGTAGTTAGAAGATAATACTGTGATATATTGTGATACTGTATGATTATTTGAGGACATTTAATCATATTTGTTGTAATAATAATAAATTTTCTTCATTTTTCATCGGACTTGTGCATTCATTTCCTAACGAAACAGTACGCACGCAGCAATAGAAACTAATAGCTGGTTAACTTTATTTACTTTATTATATCTTTCTCACTAAATAAATGCATTTAAGAAACTATAGAATTAGTGCAAAAGATGCTTATTTTAAAACAGCTGAAATCAATTTTAATAAGTTCTTAAGCAATATGAGTTATATTTTAAAGAATATAAGCCTTCAAAGTTAACTATATCAAGAATGTTCTGTACCTACTTTTCTCATTAAAAGACACCTTTTCTTAAAAATCCTACAAAAGACTAATTAGAGTACCGCTAAAATCTTGTTTCCGAATTTCATCGCACTCCGTAGTATCTTCTAAAATAGTGGATATTTAAGTCATATTCACAGCCATCTTTTCAGAGTTACTGCGCTTATTTCAGAAAATACCGCCATTTAATACCTTTCTAATATTTCAATCTGTTAAATGTGAAAGATTAGCTTATTCCGTGGCAGTAGCGTTAACTTGAGAAAAATATCCATAAAAACTGCTTAGAATAAATATTAGTTTCATATTTTATTTCGCATAAATAAAATATGATACTAATATTTATTCTAAACAATAAGAAATGTGGAAGTGTAACATTTTCGACATTCAATGTAGCATTTTTGAATATCTTTACATAAGTCAGAGGGCATTGTATAAAAATAGTTATGTAATGCATATTAATGAGTATATTAAATGAGAATGAGTTACTGAATAAATTATTAATGCATTATAAATAAGTTTTATATTAAGATACTTTGGATGTTGTCATTAATAAAATGTCAGTTCAAATAATTAACTAAAAAAGTGACATAATTTAGTTGCAAAATTTCTTTGTAGGCGGAAAGAAGTATCATACACTGTTCACAATTACTCTGAAAAGCAAAATAATATTCGACAGTTTACAGAAAATCAAATTATTAAACACTAATTTATAAAGATAAGAATTCTCTAGAAAGAGATTATTTTTAGTCTTTTTTTTTTTTTTTTCCTGCATTTCAAAAGTTGACAAACTAGTGCTTAAATTTCTTCGAAGATAATATCAAGTACCCAGACTTTCTCCAGACTCAGTTTTAAGTCTGAAACTTACACATTTTTATATCCAGAAGATATGACACTTAATTTTAGGCAAAACTCAGTTTTTAATATAAACCAATGCCAATCTAAAACTGAATTTTTTTCTAAACTTAAATTTCATATTCTTCTGGTATTATCTCTTTCAATACAAATACTTAAGCTATTTTTTTTATCGAACCTCATTATTAATAACTTTGCATCAGAAAATTATTATAAAAAGTACTTTACACTATCGAAAAATCTCACTAGCATGGATTCACTTAAAGCCTTACCTTTGGACAAGAATTCCTCCTATAGCGGAACCCAGAAGAACAAATAGAGATTGACTAAAGAAGACCCAAGACATGGTTGCGAATACAGTGTCAGTTTTGCACCCCAAATCGAACAAGACAGGTCCCAAGAATGCAACACACATACCAAATGACCAAAACACTGCACATAGAGTCCCAGTAACATGCTTATTAGCCCACAGTAGCTGGTAAAAATGTTCTCTCTTGGTTGGGATTGTCGCTACAGAGGAAAACCCTCTTAATGCACTTCCTAGTTCAATTTGAGAGCCACCAACTTTATCAGATGATGGAATAGTTCCTGGCTGAAGTTCATTAGGAGCCTGGTATTCAGAATTAACGTCCTGAGACATATTTCTTTATTTCGCAAAAATAGATTAAGGTATTAAATACAACTAAACTGCCGCATCCTTTTCTTTGAGCAAGTTATGACACGTGCATCTAGAAGCTAAGGAATGCTAAATAATAAGCTTAGCAGTTTTTTAAACACAACTGACTATTTTGTGAAATAAAAAACAAACTATATAACTACAGTTTTCTGAGAAATCTCTTAGCTGTGTATATCAGAAAGTGGTAAAAAATAGATATCACCCTGGAATTTTGAAGAAAAATTTCCTTTCAGACTCAATTTTTCGATTGCCAAGTGCAAATAAAGGCGTCTTTTGCATAATAAATCATGCAGATATATTCCAGACTATTACTGAGAAGGCAACTAATTAACGTAAAACTCCATGCGCAAACTGAAAGTTCAGAAAGGATGATGATCCGACAGTTTCCTTGAAATCACTGCATAAAAGCCATTGGATGTTTATTCGAGGAATCAGAATTCACAAGGGATTTATCGGAGCAACCCCCCAACTTTTCAGGACTGAGTGCTGAGTTGTCCCAACAGGATTCCCTAACGCATGGCTCCTGTTTCATTGGGTGTCGCGCGAACTGTGTCCTAAAAAGACGTATTTTTAGCGCAAATGTAACCGAAATCAAAGGAACAGCGCCATCTTTTGGAAAGCTACAAAGTTCTTTCAAAAGTTCCTTTCGCGGAATTTTCGTCTTAAACTTTCTATCAAATTTTTCAGTTCGTAAATCTCAGCTTAGTATTATCATTTTATTTTCTCATCGAGAGTATTTTCAGGTATATCTGAAAAGGTTACAATGCGATGTTAAAGGCGAAATTAAATAAAAGTTAAATCAGTATTGAGACATGTTGACTAAAAGTCCAGCTTGTATAATTATGCTTATGAGACCTTAACAAATAGCTTCTGAAAATGGAAAGTCTTGTTAGATATTTCAATTTTTTGTTTATCAGGCTGTTTGTTATCTCTTTGAAATTAAAAAAAAAAAAGAAAGAAAGAAACAAGTGTGAAGATTTATTGCTCGTCAACATTTCCGGAAGAACACTTCAATGGTTATTATTTTATTTATCTGTTCAGAAGGGGGGAAATGTTAGTAAGTATAAATTGAGAAGTATAAATTTCGGATAAATTGATATATTTATATGCTAATTTTCTTTCTTTCTCCTTGTTTTCTTAACTATTTTAATGCACAGTCGTTAACTATTATTGATTTAAAATATGTTGATTTATGTCAATTAAATAAAAGTACCATTTCTTCCATACTATATCTCTAAGCAAAGATATTATTATCACATTTTTAAAATTTTCCTTTGAGTCCACCCTTTCATCTGTCTGTAATAAACTATTTCTACAAGTGAATATTTTAGATAAATGTAGATGCAAAATACATAGAACTTTACGGGCCATCTTGGACCATACAGTAGTTTGAGGATGCAGCTTGCTAACACTACACCAAAAATGTGAGTTCGACTTCCGAATAAAGTTTGAATGCATGTGCATGTTTTCGTCCTTCTCATGGGTGTGATATTAGTCTGCTCCCTGTGTTGCATCCTGGGCCATGTCCTCGGTGATGAGGCGATTAAATCTAAATGGCCAATGAGTTCAATTATCCTTGCCAAATTGCTCTCGAGCAAGTGACTGGCTATAGGTAAAAGAAAAATTTTTCAGCACTATGAGAAACAAATGCTACCTGAACTAAACGATAGTTGGTTATCAACAGATAGACATATTCAGCTAGAGCGATAAGTAGACAGAAAGTAAATACATATATATATATATTTTTTGTATTTAATATTTAGTTTGGGTTTGTTTAATTATGGCAGAGCACTAGAGGGCTACCTGCCTATTCGTATTGAACAATAAACCGGAGAAGTACGACTTCACCTTTCACCCTTCCCGTTCTTCGATTTTTCTTTTTCTTTTTTTGCCGAAATTATGTTTTGATTTGAATCATCTCTTCAATTCAAAACAAAATACAATTTCTTTCTGTGAGTTTGTAGAGACATTAGGAGTTTTTGGAAGCAGGCAAGATGAAAAATTAGCAACCGCCTTCGTCGGGAATCGAACCACGGACCTCTGAAATACCGGCTCAGTCTGCTGACCACTACACTACGACGGCACGCTAGGAAAGTGGGAAAAATACCTTATATACTTCCCTTTTTAAAGGACGACCGGGGATTTTAGGGGACACAATCGCCCAAATCCTGGGTGGGGAGAAATCGTCATCCACAACCCTTTTAGTTCGGGCGCCACTGTAGAGACATTAGGTATATTTTTGGAACCAGGCAAGATGAAAATTAGCAACCGCCTTCGCCTGGAATCGAATCACGGACCTCTGAAATACCGGCTCAGTGTGCTGACCACTACACCAGGAAGGCACGCTAGGAAAGCGGGAGAAATACCTTATAAGTTAGGTAAAGTATATATGTTAATTAAGTAAACGGAAAACTTCGCTTTCTTTCTCTTTATGTATACAGATTTACTGTAGAGCTCTAAGCAAACGCGACGTTATCCACTTGCACAGGGCCAAGTGGATAAGATTTCTAAACACTGATTCGCATTCGTATCTCAGTGAACGTTCTGATTGCATTTCCTTTGCGTAGCATCTATTTGCGTACATCTAAGTCATCCTATTTCTTAAGCAGATAATTTTTCTGTGCTTTTCCATAATTAAATAATCCAGCTGCACAGGAGAAAGAAGGAAGCCAACAACTACACAGATAATATTCTCTCTCAGCAAAACGAACTGCACAGAAAGGTTTTCTTTTCCTTCGAATACCATAGGATTCTTGAAACCTTCAGAAGATGATATCTAACAAAGTTTTCCGCTTATAACAGTTAAATATTTTCCAATAAATTCTATTGCCTGAAAGCCAAATTATAGCCAACATGGAAACTGGAAATTGTTTTAATCACACCTTTACATGCATTAAATTTCACTTAAACAGCAATTATATTTCAAGATTTTATATTTGCTTATGAGTAGACGAGAAGCATTAATTAAAGCTGAATTTTTTATGAGAATATTTTCTAGTTATTTTTCATCATGCATTCAAACCACGTTTTGCCTCCATGATGAAACTGAAATTGGAAAATTTTGTCGAAGCTGTGATTTGTCGAAGTTGTTGACGTTCATCTTAACCCAGCTTTAACTGTGTTCTATATCAGAAAACGCAAAAATTTTGTTTTTTCTTTATCATTATCAATACCGATCTTTTTGGTTTAAGTATGCACAAAACAAAAATATCGTATTTTTAAAAATCATTAATGTAAGATAATTTATCATTGATTTTATACGTTTCAGTTCAAATCAATGTAACATAAACTTAAATCGGTGTTCATCTGGATAAACAGGATTTGCAAAAATCGAGGAAATGAATAAATAAAAGTGATTAATAAAGTTCATAAAAATAAAAATACAAACATTTAAAAATCATCAGATGTATCATTAAATCACAAGTCCTAGATGTCTTATGGATTATTGCAGAGCTATTATTAAAAATAAAGTAAAGATACAAATTATTCAGAAGATGAGCACTGCTTTTAAACTATTCAGTGCATAGTTTTAATCTGAAAAGTAAAAGATATATGGAATAGAATGCCATGTAGTATAGCATCACTTCTGAAAACCGGCAATTTAACCAGGCAACATGCATGATAAATGAACTGGAAGCTTAAGATAGCGTTATTAACAAAATGCAACGACCGTACAAAAAAAAAAAAAAAAAAAAAAAAAAAAAAAATAAGAGTTAGACTTTTTAATGTCAGCATAAGGAAAAAAAAGAATTACTGTGAATATTCACTAAAAGACGACTGCCCATGGTCCAGATGATTTGATCATCTACGGCCATCAAACTCAAACTGTATACAGTCAGATTTCAAAGTAGCTAATGGGCCACAATTTTTTTTTTAACCAAATGAAACTAAATTTCAAATTTCACTGATTAAATATTTATAAAAACGTACATACATAACAATAGTAATAATACAAATGGAAAAATTCAAGCTTACAATATTTATTTTATATCTCTAAGAAAATACCTGTAAGAGTTTCTTGTTGCTTTCACTTATTTTGCTACAAATATTTAACTATTAGTACGTTTAAATTACACTTTATAATTCAATTTGTAATAATTTTATCTTTTCTTGGTCATAATTTTACCGTGAAACTAATGTTTAGTCAAGCAGCCTGTTACCTGAACTGAGATTTCATGTTAATTTTCAAGTACAGACTCTTTACAATTTAAGTTATATTTTGTTGTGTTCTCAAGATTACTCAAGCATGGAAATTTATTGGCACCTAATATTTTAGAGTCCACAACTGTAAAACTACGAACGAAATATGTAAGCGCAGACACAACAGTAGATGTTATAACTATATTGCAATCCACTGCGCAATGAATTTATACTATATCTAAATCTATAAAAAATTAACTTAATAATTGTTTATCTTCTTTAACGACTTTTATTTCAATAGAAATATCAAAATGCAGCCTATTGTTTCTTCCCGGGGTGACTGTATCCTTGAATGTTGAACCAGCATTAAAAAAATAGAGCAACTCAATAAATAGGCCGCCCGTAGACAAAGACTACAATAAATTTAAATAACATTAAATTAACAATCCAATCCAATTATCCAATAACTAAATTAACAATCCCAAGCCTAAAATTAAATTAAAGAATTTTAAAATTATATCAAGGAGGAAAATAAAGGCTTAATAGACATTTAATAGAAAAATATTATTATAAACTTGTAACTATTTACGCAAAATCATAAATTTAAAATAAATTAGAACTGTTGTTATAATTACATCTCTCAGATAACCACCTCCGAAAACGATCGTTTCTGAGAACTTGAATAAACATCATCTAAGACGGCTAATTATAATGCAGACCAAAATCATCTGGACGTGTGGCTGGTCATCTTAGAGGGAATTTAGAAAGGATATCTATATGCTGTATAGATTATAAACTGATGTAAATATCACCCCTTAGATACAACAACTGAAACTTTCACTTATTTAATTTACCAGAAGGAAAACATTTCACCTTTGAAGGTCCATACAATTGAAAATCTCCGGTTATATAGTATTACAACTGGAAATTTCTGGATAACATATTAGACCGCTTCGATATAATAATCTTTTCAATCATAATATAAATTCCATATAATTCATTTTTACTGCAGCGAATGCGAAATTTTCATTTAATTTTTAATTGGTACACAGAATCTTCATATGTTAAAGATGAAAACAGAGATTGTAAGGTATATTTTAATTTTATAACATTTATTTTTATTTAGTTAAAATTTCCTATCTTGCCTCGTTTCAACTTACAATTCCCTACCAGAATGAGTTTTTAGAATCGTGTTGAATGCAAATGAGGAAGAAATAGTATTAAAGGAAAGTTCAACTTACTTCGAAAGAGACAGCTAGGAATCCCGAGTAGCGCGCGTTTGCCTTTGGGCTAAGTTTCTCTTTAAGCTCCTATTACACTCGGCCTATATTACGTGCCTTTTGATGGTTCGCCGGTTAGCTTAGATTACTGGCCAACTA